ACAAATTATCACAATACTAATTCCAAAACCATCATCATTTCAATCATTTTCTCATTCATTACAAATCAACCAATCCAAAAAGTCAAGAAAATCCGAACAAAATCACGTACAGGCAATGTAACATCATTTACGCATATAGAATATGATATTGAACAAAAACTACTAGATTTGTGGAAAAATACATCTAGTGTATCAAATCTTAATGATATTCCTATGTTTATCTTATGGATTAAAAATATCATTGGAAATCTCAAAAAACCAAAGAACAAATTCAGTTACGATCATCATATTCAACAATTTGCTCTCTTGTTGTTAATCCAGGGTGGTCGAAACTGTTATGAATTTCTTCGATTAAATTTATATGGTGCATTACCACACATTACTAATTTAGAATTGTTAATGAGAAATCAGAATGTTAAGATTAATGAAGGACAATTTAGATTTGATTTATTAAATGAATATCTACAATCAAATGATAATAAATACGTCTTTTCATCGGAAGATTCCACCCGTTCTATCTGTCAAATTGATTATGATGCACAATCAACTTCATTTATTGGTTTTTGTTTACCTTTAGTTACTGGTATACCTCAAACAAATTTTTTTCAAACAGAAAGTTTGGAGGAGTTGAAAGTTTGGTTTAATACAATTGAAAAATCTACATTTATTAATCTGCATATGATGCAATCCTTATCACCAAGTAAACCACCGTTCATTTTATCGGCTTATGGATCTAGCAACAAGGCTACAGCTATAGATATTTTGCAAAGATGGTTATATATCTTTAAGCAATGTTTAGCACAAGGTATTCGTATTATCGGTTTTAGTACCGATGCTGACGCACGATATATTCGTGCAATGCGGTTGTGTAGTCGTTTTTTTGCTGAATTACCTAACATGAACTTATTAAAATACAATATTGACTTTTGTATTAAAATACCAGAACAATGGTGTTGGTTTTTGATGAAAACTGAACAAGTTTTACTTTTCATGCAAGATCCAATTCATATTGCTACAAAATTCAGGAATAGACTTCTTTCAACAGTAGCATCATTGAAGATGGGAGATTTTCCAATTGATAACCAACATTTATTTGATCTACTTGAATCAAGAAGTAAATTGGAACATAGTTTAATCAAATGTGATATTAATCCGAAGGATAGACAAAATTTTATATCATGTCAACGTATATCTTCTGAATTAGTATTGGACTTATTGAATGAAAATGAAGATACGAAAGGAACATATGTTTATTTGTCTTTATTACCATTACTTATTTCTGGTTTTATAGATAAATCGCCAACAATTGAAGATAGATTATATTATGTGTGGACTGTTGTATTTACATGTAGATTGTGGTGGTCGTGGATTCGATACGTAGAAGTAAAATGTATTAATGATGATAGTGATTTAGATTCTGTCAAAAGAATCAAGTCGAATTGTTTCATTACAAAACCAACATTTTGGTGCATTGAATTAAATGCTCATGCATTACTATATATTATTTTGTTAGTTATTGAAGAAAAATTACCAGTTAATGCACTTAATACGTACTTGTTCAATTCACAAACTTGCGAAAATACGTTTCGCACAGCTCGTGCTTTGTCAGGCACATTTTCAACAATAACTAATTTCACTGTTAAATCTTTTTTGAAAAGATGTGAAAAGATCTCGATTGTTAATTCTATCAAATCACGTGAAGATGCATTCGATAATTATCATTTTCAATTTCCAAAACATCACAAAAATCATGAGGAAACATTTGATTATTCGGTGGAAACGATCGATAAATTGAACTTAACAAAAATCGATATCGAAAAAATTATCAAGCGTGCATTTGAATCAGCTAAAGAGTATGTTTCGATGGTTAATATGACTCACTTGTTGAAAAAGAAAAAGGTGTATTCATTATCCGACTTAAGTCAATTTATGAAAATCAGTTTACAAAAGTCTTCATCAAAAGTGATAGATTATACAGAAGATGTTGATTCAGATGAAGATGATATAGAAGATCAATATGGAGATGAAGAAAATGATTCAGAAACATTGGGTAGTGATAATCAAATGTCAACAGATAATATTATTGACGATGCAGAAGAAGATGGTTGTGTCTTAGCTACTGATCTTTCAGAAATTGAACGAAAAAATTTTGATGGTTGTCGTATATATGATAATATTAATCCACAACAAATAAAGAAATACTTTCATATTCGCATCGGTACGTCTTACAAATATATTCATAAGCAAACGGCGTGTTGGTTGTTGTCAAACAGTCGAGATCGTCCATCAAGTGACAGATTATTACGTGTTCAAAAGTCAACCATGGAAAATTAACTGTTTCATCGAAACTACTTCGTTTAAGTGCTTCATTTCATGTTCTTTATTGCTTCATGTTACTTTTTTTGTGAATTTGTTTGTTCTATATTGTATTTTTGATGATAGAAATGTTTCGGTGGTGTTGTCGAACAGTGTTCTTTCTGATTTTCTAGAGAAAAACTAGGCTGATAATTAATATTAGCAATATCGAAGTAGTATGGATGTCTTACAAGAGTGCTGGACAGTCTGATGAAATGCTAAACGAATGCTGAAATGCTGAGCACATGCTGAAATGCCGAAGAGATGTTGAAATGCCGAAATGCTGCACAGATGTTGAAATGCCGAACGGATGCTCAAATGCTGAGATGCTGATTGCATTCGGTCTGCACTTACCCCCTTGGGCATGGGTCGAACAATGAGTTTCATGAACAATGTCTTCTGTCTAGTAGACTGAATTTCTATATGTGTAAAACCATTATAGAAATGAAAACCCTCAATTTCTGAACCATAAAAAACAGGGTTTGGAGGAACTTCATTTTTCGACCCATGCCTGAGAGAGACCACAGATCAATTTTTCGAGAAAAAGCAGATTTCGAGAAACAGTGCTAAAACTCACATAAGTATACCCAGTTTTCGACGCTGAGTCAGAATATTATATTAGTTCGTCTTCGACTCTTGAGTTTTCTGGCAAGAGTCTATCAAAAACTGGACAAAAATCTCAAAAAAGCCGGTTAGGACTAGTATTAGTTCAATTATGTGTCCGGGTCAGAGGTTCTTCGTCGATATTTTTATATTTTTTGTAGAGTGTGAAAAACTCGATCGAACCATGCTAAAATCAATTTCGTTAAGAAACAAAATATTAATATTTTAACACGGCGCACGAACTTTTTCCTCAACCTAGTATTACCATTAGCAATTTTTGTTATATTTGGATGGTTGACATGGAGAAATATTCACCAAATTCATCAACGACGCGTCGGACCTGAACAACAATATTTACCTACAAATCAACGTCAGGAATCTCGATTAACACGAATGTTACTATTACAAATTTGTTCGATTAGTCTATCAACAACACCTTATACAATAAACAGTCTGTACACTGCAANATGCACAGAAGAGGTTTGAAAGCAGTCGAATATTAGTCAAATAATTGAAAAAAGACTGCAAAAATAGTTGAATAGTTGAGTCGAAATTTTTTCGAGTTTCGCATTATTAAAAGACGCAAGGATCAGAGTAGCTATTCATAGCGGACTGCTGTTTCATGTGTGAAAAATGGTCATGAATAATGGACATTACATAAATAACAAGAACGATGATAATTGTTTGGTTAGTTTTGAAAAAGGTTGAAATTGACGAGGACCGTTCTCGAAACATCATTTGGAAGCGCAAGTTTTATCTGAAGTATAACCCAATCAGTCGAGGGTAATGCGAGTCTCCCTCGACGAGCGTTATTTTATTCAGTAAACTAAAATTTCTCTTGAAGAGAATGTTTTTTTTTAAATTTTTACCAGGGAAAAATACTTTTGAAAATTTTCCCTCGATGCTTGTAAGTTTTTAAATTCTTCCCCGACTGGCCGGTCGCGGAGACGAGTAGATTCTGTACCCCTGTATGCGACATTGGAAATGTAATTGAATGAAATTAAAAGACTTTTAGTCGTGTGTTGATCTTGTAGATTTGGATGAAAACGAGGCATTAGATTTAATTTCATTTGCCCATCACTACGCAAAAAGTAAATCCGATTACCACGACCTATTTCTTCACATTCAAATGTCGCAAATCTTATACAATCTTTTCCAAATTCTATTTCGAATTTTTCTTCTTCGTCACTCGTATCATAAGACAATCAAAAACTTCATTATAGATTTCACACCAATCGAGACACATGTACGACCAAATGAAACTTGTTCATCATTAATTAATTGAAATTGACAGGTTGAACCCAAAGCAATGCAATGAACAATTGTAAAAGAATTCATTCGAATGTTTACCATTTATTTCTATGATAAAATGTCTAATGAGAATAATATTTGAGAAATTTGACAGAAAGATAAAGATTTCTATCAACTTCATTTGTGTAATTGAAAAAGTTTAAATGAAAGTAATGTATCTATTTTTTGGAAATAAAGAACATTTGCTCTTTTTCTTTTTCCATCCATTTGCTTTTCTGCTCATTTTTTTTTCTGAATGTATTTTTAAAAATTATATTCAGAAAAATATTATCAATGAGAAATGTTGATAAACAAAATCTTTTCGTATTTGATATTTTATTAAAGATCATGATTCAGCCGAGATGAGGATGAGGATGATTTTTTTTCTCATTTTGCAGAAATCTGTAAGTGTTCACATAAAAATAAAGATCGAAATGTATCATCATAAGTCTATTCGAATCCTCAAAAGGCATACAAGGGCAAAATTACAACATCAATGCAGTGTTAGAAAAGCAAAAAAAAACGCTCTATAACTGATAATTGAAATCTTGTCGGTGATGTTGTTAATTGAATCGACGAAAATGTTGTGTAATCTGCTTTCGATAGCGTAAAATACTCTTTTGATATTCATTCATATAGAATTTCGACGGTAAAACAAAGATGAGAAGTGTTATCATTGTTGGAATAAATGTAATAAAGTATCCACCAAGAAATACATAAGAATCTTTTGTTGAATTCATACATTTTGATACATATGAAAGTATTAAACGTGGTAAAGCAAGAAGAAATAAAACAATCGGTGCAATTAATAAACGGCGATGTTCACGGATTTGATCATGTAACAAATCTTGATATTTTTTATCTTTATTGCTGAAACGGAGCTTTTGACAAGATTTTTTCGTAATTAAAATAGCTGCAGAAAGGAAATTAATGAGAAACGGAACGAAAAAATGAAATGTATTCATAACTCGATTATAAATTTGTAAACTTGAAGAATATTTCACAATACACCAGATTCTTTTTTTATTCTCATCATTGTCATTCTCTTCTTCAAATAAATGTCGATAAATTGGATCATGAATGGACGTTGATACGGTGAAAAGAAAGAAAAGAACTATAAGTTTCTTTGCTAATTGTTTACTTTTCTTTTTCTCAAATCGAACACCTTGAATAGTAGCCATTGCTCTCTCCATCGAAACACATGCATTTAACCATTGATCCATATTTAAACAAATTCGAAGAAGAAAATCCAATGAATGACATTGAATTTGTAAAAATAATCGATTCGAAGGTGTTGAAATCTGTGTTGAAAGATAAATAAAATATTTTAATCCAAATAAAATCATTGTGAGGCTTGCTGTTATCGACGAACATAATAAATATACACCACAGCCAACTTCCAGTACACTTTTATTCTTAAACGTGATCATTGAAAGAATTCCATTGATTAATCCAACAATGAGAAAAAGAATCGTTAATGAAAAACTGATTTTTACAATTGCAGTTTGACGAGAAAGATTCACATCGGAGACGATGTGATAAGCTAAAATTGCATCGAGTGAGAGACCAAATTCACTCGTACTAAATTGACATCGACTTCCATAATAACATGAGTGACAAGCACAGATCGATCGCCTCGGACAATCAGATGACTCTTGAAAGCATTGTCCATGATTTTCACAATGATTTTGTCCGAAACAATCGAATTTCATTTTATGATTAAAATTGAAACAATTGGCTAAGCGTTTCTGTCGATAATCGTAGCATAGACAAAGATGAATATCATCATGAAAACATTCGAGATGAGGCGACGCTTGACAAATTAAATGATAATATTTCATTCGACGAAGTACATGAAGTTGAGCAAATGTTTCATTCACTAATTCATTGATCGAGGAACAGCGAAATGACGAACGAACTCGTTGAATTATTATTGTCGAACGATTATAAACTGGTTGAATAACAGCTAAGTAGTAAGTTCGTTGTAATGTTTCGATAAAAATTAAATGAAATGGTTGTGAATGATACATTCGAAGAGAATTACTTGCTTGAGAAATGCTTTGTAAACTTGTTGATCTTGAAGGTGAAAGTGGTGGAATTTCATATCCGTATTCATGGTATGGAACAATTCGTATGAAATGAACGAAAATTGAATGAAATAAAGAAATTTCTTTGTCGAAAATGAGATTGATTTCAGTATCGATCAATTGACATCGATCTCCACTAAAACCTTTTGGACAAATGCAGAAATATTTCGGATTTATTGATGGTAACACGAAATCATCATATGAGAAACACGAACCTTTGTTTTCACATGGAGAATTATCACATATTCGATTTCGAAGATAACATCGAGAACCAAAATAATTCTCTCGACAAACACAAATCGATCGATTGTCACTCGATAGTCCAATACATAAAGAATTCGATGTCGAACATGTACAATCATATGCGATATCACAAGACTCTCCCATCCATCCTGCGTCGCATTGACAAAATGTTTGTTTTGTATTGAAATACTTGAAACATTTTCCATGAAGACATTTTTTGTGCGGTAAACAAGTTCCACTAGGAGAAGCTTCAGGTGGAACGTTGACAACGAACCCTAAGCGATGAACTGGTAAGAAGGAAAACTTCACTGGATAATGAAAACTTGTTCGATATATAAGAGAAAGTTTTTCATAGATATCAACATGAATTGAATAAGTTCGATTTGGATGTTTCGGTCGAGTTGAATAAAGTAAATAGAAATTAAACTTTATTTTACAATCTCGAATGGATAAATAAGTAAATTGTTCATAGGAATGAATCAGCCGTTGGGTTGTATCGTCAATAAGAAGAATTAAAATTGCAAATGAAGTTGATCTGGATTGAGCTGGAGCATAAAATCTCATAAACACACTGATACGTTGGTTCTGATATTGACATTGATTTCCATAAAAATTTGATGGACATAAACATGTACTTGTATAGCGATCAGAAGATTTATTCAACCAGACACGTACATCAAGACCATGATAACAACGAGGATTGTCGAGGAGTGAAGGTCGTTGATAATTATCTGGAGTGATTGGTTTAACATGTTTATTCTCATTGATCTTGTTTTCAGATGATTCATAATATCCATTGATTCGAAAATATTTTTTTCCTGCTTTAGATTTCTCTTCGGCAGTATCACATAAGAACTTTTCAACATTAGTCGCCAATGCTATATTCTCAGGTTGACAAATACTATTGTATATAGGTGATGACCGATTTTTGTTGCAAAACTGTTGATCTTCTCCATTTTCACATCGTATTGTGTCTGTACATAATTGACGATTCTCAATATTTGCGAAGTCGCCACGATCTTTGATCACACAATAAAAGCCTCGATCGCTATTTGCATAAGGACGCCGGTATAGCATGATTTCATCAGTAGCGCCAAGACAGTCGATTTGACCATCATGAAACTTATGAATTGATAAACATATTAATTGAGTTGTATATAATGTGACACACATTGCTGAATTCGAAGAACAATTCAGTAATGGTGGGGATTTAGAATTACAATTCATTTCATCTTTTCCATCGAAACAATTCCATATACGATCGCAATGAGTGTACATATTATCACATTCCCATTGGTCACATTCATTTTCATCTGTGTGATTTCGACCATCGATTGTGATTGGATATAACTCTTGAAAATTATCACACATCATTCGAAAAGATATCGTTCGTCGAGTATAGTTCGCATACACGTCTTCATCTTCACAAAAATAGTCTTTTTCATACCCACAATCGCAGTGTTTATTCGAGACTGCAGATTGAATAATATACTTGTTGGACATGTGACATTTGTAATATTTTTCTTTGAACTGCGCAAATAGTTGAGGATTCGTATGTTCATCGATATTTTCATCATCATTGTATGGACAATCAGATATACCATCGAATAAACGATGAAGTGGAATATATTTGGATGAATTTGAGCATTGAAAGAAGTTTGATTGATTACATCGATCGAGTGGAAAATTAACAAACGGTTGAAATCGTTTAATTTGTTGAAAAATATTGTTCATAGGTATATAAAATCGAGAACGAAGAAGCGGTCCGCCGACAATTCCTATCTTTCCCCAGTTAGCAACTTTGAAACACTTTGTATTATTGAATGAGGTATTTAAGACGAAACTGTGAAAAAAAGATTTATTCGAGCACAAATACGGTAATTCGGGAATTGGCTTTTGAACACTTGTAAGTTCATCGGTCTTGTAAGCTGTATAAATATGGCCCAAGTAAATAGGAATGCTGGGAACATATAACATAGGTGGACACTCTTTTTTTATCACGGGCGTACACTCGTGTTTAATAGTAGAAAAATCTATCTCGGAGAATGTTGAGGTAGAAATACCAAAATAACATTTGAAAGCTGTCCAACATTCATCTGACACTGCATGATCTTTGATTGAAAACATCCGCTCTGCTCGAAAGTATGCACGGTCTGATATACAAGAGCTTGTGAGAAACTCGGTATAACATACAGCATCATAAGCTCCAAATACTGGTTCAACGTCAGTAGTTTTGATTACTGGCAAGTTTTCATCAGATTTGTCTATACAATCAAGATGCCAGCTATCATCATTAACAAATTCATATAGTATACATTGCCCATTGCGACATTGATATTCATTTGGTTGACATTTATTAAATTCAAGTTGCCAGCAATGTTCTTCATCGTAAGTGCCATCAAGACAATCAATTTCACCATCACAAATATCAGTCCAATCTAAACATATTTCATAATAAGCACGGTTACATGCCATAAGTGTGTAACAAGTCATAGCATATAATCTACCAAAAGATCTATAATAACCATGAATCATTTCTTGTAATGATGAATAACCTTCATGATGTTGATATAATTCATATTGACACATTGATCCAAATCTTGGTAGTGTACAATTATAGAAGCTTTCGTTTCCTAACAAGAAATCATTTGTTTCCAAATAGTTTTGATATTTTTCAATAATATCGATTGGTGTTGACCAGATATATAAATCTTCACTTGTGATATGCTTTTTTGCAAGATTAGTAAATGAAAATGATGGCTCGTCATGTTCGATGTGAAATTTTCTTGATGATTCACTCATACAATATGATGAGATTTCCACATTTGGACTTACTACGAGAAAATTTGAAGCCACTCGAAAACAATTGTATCTGATTCCCATTTCATCACTGAATTCATTTTCATTTACTTCATTCGTCGTAAAATAAAGATTCAATTGTGGTACTGCAATGATGCTGTGAATAAAAAGAAAATAGAAAATGTATTTCATACAGAATTAAATGAATAAAACGCTTGCTGACGATAGTTCGGAGATATTTATTTGACGTATGTTAGAGAAATATATATCTCCCATTTTCATACAGAATTACAATCTAAGAATTGACGTCAGAATGAATACTTCTATACTATTTGTTGAAGATAAGGATTTACAGCAGAAAATTCAGAGAAAAAGCCGGATAGAATGATTTATGCCTCTAGTTAATGCGTCTCTTCGTTGAACGCAATTTAAAACTAAGAAACATCTGGAGCAGCAAACGCGTTCACTTAAAGAAGAAAAAAAATGGGTAGGTTGTTCTGCCGTCGTTTTAAAACAATAGATCGTCATTATTTTCGAAAAAGAGATAATGAGGTAATTTCTTATTGTGATGGTGCAAATTAATGGGCAGTTGCGAATATAATAGACAATGTAGTGGATACTGTTCTGGTTGAATGAATCGAAGATACATCTATGATGAAACTCTAAATGACTGACATACTCCATTTGAATTGCTTTCGACTTTTGTATTCAAAACAGAGTTTAATAAATAAAAATGTCAGAACGAAGAATGCTTCCTATTTTATGTTTAGTACCAACATTGGATATATATATATATATTGCTTCGCCTCCATCAGATTTAGTGGCGTATCTAAGGTCTGGCAGTGTCAGGCCACCGAGAAAAAGTTCTGATTAATTTTTTATTATTATATTGTTGTAGAAGTTACATAATACTCAATATCTGATAATGAGTGATATCTGACGAATAGTACAGAAAAATACAAAATCAATAGTATCTATCACTCAGTATCTAAAATGAAAACAAAAAAAAATAGTAAACAAATTTCAATTCAAGAAGTATAAAATATATCATTCCCTTGACTGTAATAAGGAGGGTCATATGGAATAAAATTGTTCCCTCTACTGAAAGGAGGGTTATGCGTTGAGCAGATACTACCAAAAAAACGAGTTGATGTTGGTCCTTCCGTCCATCCGTTCGTTTTTCTTCCAAATTACCTAATGCTAGTTGAAACTAGTAAGGGTTCACCAAAGGGTAGTCGGGGTCGAGGATCTCGAATTCGAGGTTAGGTTCTCAAAATTCTAATTAGGTAATTAGATAATTAACTAATTAGGCTATGAAACTTTTTTTGTTGTCGAGTAAGGGTTGACCGAAGGGTAGTCGGGGTGGAGAATCTCGAATCCGGATTCCATTCTTCAGTTAATATGATCAGAATAGAGATAGTTACTGGCATTGAACTATAGAAATTTAAGTTCACCAATGTTCAGTAATGACAGAGGTGTATGTTACAATTCATAAGAAATAAAAGAACTCATAAACTAGTATTATTGCTGCTATCAATTTGAGTAGGGTTTCAATTTCGTGAGTATTTCTTGATATTATCGAAATTTGGCAACGTATCCATGACAATGTACCGTATAAACAACAGTTCGTGAAATAAATGCGTACGATTTCGAATGAAAAATGGGTCTTGTTGCAATAGATTAAGTGTATATCGACGATAGCTACTGTAGCGTGATTATTCTTGTAAATGTTTAGAGTTGAACGTCAATAATATGCGTCTGGTAGGAACTATTGTTGGGCGAAGTCAGTTTGAATGTCAATCTTTGTTGCATCATTTGGCAAATATTTCAATGAACAACATATATTACCAATCATGAGACACAATAGTGGTATATGGTGGAAAAAACACATGTCCCAAGCACATTTAGATATTTTAATCAGATGATTATTGTTGTAAATGAACCAGTGTTATACATTACGGCATCACATTACACAGAATTACTACCGATTCTACGAAAATGAGAAACTACAGATATAGTCATGAGCGAAACAAAAGCGCGGAAATTGAACATTATTTAGTTCATCGGGTCAACAATATCGCTGGTGAGTTTTTTTTAACGATCATATCGAGCCTTTTGCGTTCTTCCAGTTGTGATTTTGATGGTTTTTTCTGTAATACATCAAGTTCGAATGGACGAAAAATCAGTAAGTCTTGTAGGCGCTTGACACGAGATAGAGGAACGTATATAGAAGCCAATGCTACTGTACCAGGAGGCGTTACCAAATCAACAATAATTTTAGGTAAAGTTTGGCCTTGACTTTTGTGCGTTGTGATGCTATATGCTGGAACCAATGGAAGAGCCTTTCGTTTCACAGTAATGTTTGTAGATGCTTTCCTTCCTTTTAAAGCTTTCGAAGCTGATTTAGGAAGATACTCACTTACATCGAAAGAGAAAGTTTGCTCGCTGACAGGAATAGGAATCATTTTTGGTGTGAGCGTGTCCAGTGCCGATTCGAGCTTGCAATTTGGGAATTCCACTAGGGCATACTTGGGCTGTGTTATAAGCTTAGTATTCGCTGGGAAAATCTCGTCATTGAAGTCATGAGTGTCAGATGAATTGTCATATATTAGCTGATGAAATATTCCTCTAACGCCATTTGATAACCCAAGTTCCGTGGCGATGTTTTCTGTAAGTAAAACTGGTATTCCTGGTATGAGCGGGAGGTATCCTGGTAGATGTTCAGTTTCATTATCTGGTAGTCCCAGAATTGCTTTACGTAATCGTGAATTTTCAATTAGTTTTCTACCTGTATCATCTTGAGCAACACAGACCACTGGTTGCAGACCTCATTCGAGAGCTCTATTTAAAACAGCTCGATTGTTAAGTTGCGTTCGAACCGTATTGCGAAAAACCAACATGAGTGCCTGTAAGAAATTCCCTTATAGTTAAGAAAGAGAAGCTTTTCGCTGCATACTTCATCCCATGGTGGCTTAGATAACGACTCTTGCAAGCAGTCTTTCCCAACAACACGTGTGCAAAGAAGTTGACAATCTTCCATAGTTGATTGTCCTTTACGTAAACGATTTAGCAGCCCTAAGTACTGTTTATCTTCAGTACGCATCTGCTGAGTTAATTCAACTGCACAATTTATCTGCGACATAATTTTCTGAGCACATTGAATCTCAATATCTCGCTCCATACGTATGCGAGATATCTCCAAATTAGCATACAATGGCTTATCTAATACTGGAGAGTACTGCAGAAAATCTCCAAAGAATATTACGTTAACACCACCAAACGCTTCATCAGATCTGAAATGCTTCGCTGTTTGCACTACTCGATTCAATCGAGCAAACAAGCTGAGTCCAACCATACTCATCTCATCGATAATTATATATTCCACATCACGCCATTGAGTTTCCAACTTATTATCGCCTGGTCTGAATGTTTTCGATCGATACTTTTTAGGAATCTTATTGTTCTCTCCTAAAAATGAATGAATAGTTAATCCATCAATCTCTGCTGCAGCTACAGGTGTTGGTAGTGGCGGCGCCAGGGGTGGGCTAGGGTGGGCTCAGCCCACGCTAATGGGATCTGAGCCCACCTTGAGTTTTCCTGAAAACCAGCAATAAATATACTCTAGGATGGGCTCAAATAGCCTGAGCCCGCCCTAATCTGGGTTAAGACGGGCTAAGCCCACCCTAGTGAGAATTCCTGGCGCCGCCGCTAGATGTTGGTGCCAATTTACGGAGCATCTTCAAGCGTTTGGTGACCTCAAAATATCTTGTGATGGCACGAATTAATTGAGATTTACCAGTGCCACCACAGCCAGGTACACACATAAGCAATTGATTATCTTCATTATCTATAAAAATAATATCCAGATAAAATTGATTTATAGAGCTATATGTATATAATAGACCTATGCGAAATCGACTTTCACCATTTAAATGACCAGTTATGATCATAAAAGCAAGTTTTTGTTCTTTATTTAGCGTATACTCATTTACGATGTCCATTTGTATGGTCAAAATAGACATTTTCGTAGTGGTCACCGAGGATATAACTTTAGGCTGCTTGCTTATTTGTTGCGTAGATTGAATAATTGGTATGATTTCATTTTCTACCTCACTCTCCGAATCTAAGGTTTGGTCTTCACCTGTAATCAGAAAAGCTCTTGCTTTTTCTTTTTTAGTTTCAATAGCATGCTTCCATTGCTTATTCATGGTGGCCAAGCGTGACGTACATTCTTTGAATGTATTCGGATCAACTAAAGCCTCATGGTAGGCGGCTTTCCCAATACGCTTGTGGTCTATATAAACATTTTAGATTTTGTATAAGAGCACTAGGCAATTTACTGATCATAGGAAATCTGTCGGTACTATCAATTGAATGAAGTGCTTCATCTATGTAGCGCTGTTCACGAGTATTCAATGTTGCTGAAGATGTCTTAATTGTATTTTCATTTGAAATGCTTAGCATTTGCAATAATTCATTTCCATTACAATCTTCATTATCGTCATCAACATCTGTTGGACCATTTGGAAAAAGAATAGGATCAATAACATCATCAGTTTGATCTTGGCTGATCACCTGAAGTAAATGCTCGTCACGCTGTTTCTTGCATTCGTGAAATAGTTGCATATTTTGTATGATTTTCTGTGCTTGTAGAGATACTAATGATTTTCTAGCTTCGAATGCATCAGACCATGTGTCATTCCCATGACAAAGATCAATCACTGTTCGCCAAGGAATAAACATAGTTAATAAGGCACGATGGTACCGTTCACGAGTTTCTTCACGATCATGGCGGGGTACTTGTGGTCCAAGAAGGACTGGAACAACTGGAGTACTTCTTTTAATTAGGATGTGAGACGACGATTGCGGATGCGCGTGCTCAAAAGTATGACGCTCATTCATTTTTGTACCTTTAGTATTAAGCTGTATACCTTCATTGGCTGATATATCTTTCAAGATACGACGATCTGACCCATCTATTATTCGTTTATGATAATTACTGACAAACTCGTACAAACATATTTCATTGAGATCTTTTGATCGATATTGATAATCAAGTCGAGTATTTACTAACACATATTCTTTACCATCTTTAATAGGTTCAAGAATAAATTCCTCTCCCGTTTCTGTTACTTCTTGTTGTTCGTCTTGGTGTAACGTTTCCAAAAGCTCTGTAAAAGACATCAATAGTATTTACAGATTTGATAATCAGATTATACTACCGTTAAGATTTCCAGTTTCCACCAACTGTATGCTACATTTTGCTTTATTTAGTTCCATTTGCAAATAGTTTTCAATAGCAATAAGGAAAAGATTTTGAAACGTATGTGTGGTATAGTGATCACCATAATTCATTAGGTACGATGCCACTTGAACACCAGATACCTCTTGATGGGAGGCTATCATATTATAGCACCGTAAAACTAGTTTACGGGACTTTTCGATGATATTCTCAGAAAAACTTTTAGTTTCACGTTGTTCAATAGATTTCATTCCTTGTTGAGCTAAGGAAAACATATCATAAAAGGATAAACTTGATTTTGTTACATAGTCTGTGATGTAGTACACGAGTGCTTTAGCATCGCTCCCACTCCAGATGAACTTAATGTCCATATTAGACCGGCAAGCAGTTATTAGCCATTCATTAAAGTTATTTATCCATTGATGAGATCGCTTCATAACTATTTCACCTGTGCTTGGATCAATATTTGATGCGGCCACAAGTGCTCGCGGCATGCGCATCCGGCACTTTTTCGTAGTATCTGATTTTGCTTTGGAATATTTATAGCAAGTCGCTGAATGCTTATGAACGTTAACTGTCTCAACAAGTTTTCTTACGTATTCATGGAACATTTGAACAAAATTAGTAGAATCCGGATTTGGTATGGGTAAAGTTGCAGGATTCACATGCATTGTCTCTTGTACAGAATCATCTAACATATAGCAAAATAATCGCGTCACGTGAAAGGGAGGGGAGCACAGTACTTACTAGTGGCAACCGCTGTAGCTTCTGTTGACTGATTGTTGGTTTTATCTGTAGAGAAATACGTACAAAAAAGGTGTGAACAATGTATGACGCTATATTTAATTCAACGATCGTCGATGTGATCCTCTTTCCCTCACAAACGAGCTATTTAACGTATCGAAATAGAAGTGTCGTATGTTGTGAAAAATCTTCTCTTATGAGTAAACGTATTATCTGTATAATAGACTTAGAGTTGTACAGAGTATTACCTTGAAATAGATCTAGGTCTTCTTTGACTACGTCCTCAATATAACTAAGTAATTTTGCACGAAATTCTGAATCTTGAATTTTCTCTTTTAGTTGTGTAGGGGTGAAATCGTGGGCAAGCCAGATTAGTAGATGTAAATGTAGAGATCCTCTTCCTTGGCTTTCTACGGTACCAAAGTATGCACTTGTAGGGCCAAGTATACCACCAAGAACAAGACATTTCAAAATATTTTTTATCAAAATGTTAAAAAATTTCGCAGCAGCTACTGGATGGGTTGCAATTATATGTGCACGTTCATAGGATGTGCGCATATCGTCTGTCAAAATATTATCAAGATTCAAATCAACGCCAGCGAAGTACAATGCCACTGGGTTGTGAATGTCAGCTGGATTGATTGTCACAAAAAGACTAGGCAGACCTTGATAGAAGCAAAGAGCGTGAATTTTAGTACGAAGGGCTGATCGAGATTGGGCTGAGCCCATGACACGACCACCAACAGCTTTTATATGTTTCATCAGCACATTAACTCGCGGATCAGCGACCGTTAAATTAGCTTGTTTGGAAATATTCATCAAAGCTGTTGCTACATCATTAGAAGTCAATGTTTCAAGTGTCTGAGCTGATTGTTGAAAATATGGTCGTGTTGTCATGAGCTGAGCGTGAAAACATGCTGTACGACGCTGCATCATATTGAAGACGATGAAAATAAATGAATCATTTTTCTCAAATCGTCGATCTTCCAATGACAATAGATAACGTATATGCTCCAGCAAGGATATTTTAACAGGTCGACTGGAATCTTCAAGAGCTCCACATCCATATGGAAACAATGTAGGAAACATTCCCATCAATAACTCGGGATTTAAATATTCATTAGCTGGTTTATGACCGCGTGGGATCATGTACACAGTATCTTCGTCATGTTGTTCAATTGCTTCTGTGCTTACGGTTTTATCTTTTGTTTCCATTCGTATTTTCTCAAGCAGACATTTAGTAACATCATCACATGATACACTGACACCATTGACGTCGAGTACAGCGCTGAAAAAAGATGCATCAGTTCAGTCTATTGACAATAATTTAATTTTTTACTACCTTGTGGCTAATGGCACTGACGTATTATCCATCGATTTCTGCGCATCCTGTAAAGGATCTGGAATATAATTTGCTCTTTCTTGATCAGCTAGTTCAATATTATTCGAGATTTCCATAGTTGCCCACAAACATTCTGGAATATCATCATCGGGTAGTTGATTCATGTTTGACGAGTTGACGATTATATTTCGATAGAGGGGATTATTTTGACGAAGCCATTGTAGTGCATTTAATACGTTTTTCTTACGAACAGTTAGAATACTTTTTACTCGAATCTTTTCCGGAAGTTGTGTCCCAATAAAAATAATTTTCAAGGATTCACACAGTTCATCTAGTGTGAGTGGTAAGCTTTCTGCAATGTTGACAACATTTTGGGGGAAACTTATACAATTGCCCCTAAGAGCAGATTGAGCTGTCTCCATTGAATGAAAAGACGATTGTAACTTGACAATGCAACTATTATATCGATACAAAGATATGAGTCTTTGTTCTAGAATGGTCAAGTTTTTCAATTCTTCAGGTATATCTCCCAACCATACTTTATTCGCCGGTGAAAATTTTGGTATTTTTTCCTTTACGAGACAAGACCAACATTCTCTACAAATATTGCAACGTGTAGTCTGTCGTCGATCGTTATTTAATCCATGTTGTAATCCTCGTTGATAAAAAAAAGCATTATTTTCATAGATGAACGGTAGTTTTAATGACGAACAAGTGACGCGGTTGTCAGCTTGCTGAATTTTAGCAATTACATCATTTAGATCATCGTGTGGTTTGAGTACATGAACGAATGGAATTTTATGTAATGGTACACAATGTAGATCGCGTTTGTAACAACGTGTATTACATATTCCACATATTTTCTCTTCAAGAAAAGTCATCGACATATGTTTCATGAAATCTTTTAAGCACTTGATTTTCAAATCAGTTGAAACCGGTTTCGGCCATTCACCTTTCAAATATTTGTTTCTCTTTTGTTTTGATATCTCTAGTTGCTGTATTGAATTCAGACTGTCACCTTTGTCACAATCTTGGTTTATCGCTTCGCCATTCAGATTTTCATTATCAACAGGACTGAGTAACAAAAGATTCGAGTTTTTTGCACCTAGTATCGCCACAGTCTGATGAAGATTTGACAATGATTGATGTGTTGGCCCTGCTGCTGCTAAAATCTTACGTTTTCGTGATATTCTTTCACGTTCTGTTTCACGTCGTTTTTCAATTTGTTCAGGTGTTGCAGAAGTTCTTTTCGAAGCCATTCTTTCACGTGATGTTACTCGTCTCTTTTCAAGTTGTTCAGGTGTTGCAGCAGTTCGTTTCGAAGCCATTCTTTCACGTTCTGTTTCACGTCGCTTTTCAATTTCCTCAGGTGTAGGAGTGGCTCGCTTTAATGCCATTCTTTTGCGGGTCGCTGCTCGTTCTCTCTCGATTAGCTCTGGAGTAGCAATGGATCGTTTTAATGTCATCCTTTCCTGAGCTGCCGCTCGTTCTTTTTCAATATGGGTTGGACTACTATTTGCACAATACATAGCTTGATTCCAAGTCTCAGTGCTGCCAGACGGTAATAAAAGTGGTACAAAATGATTGGGTGACCAACTGTCTCCATTATCACGACGTACTTCGATTTCATTTCGCGTATTAGTCCAGAATATACGAATTGTATTAGATAAGGAACCATCTTGGTTGAAATTAAAGGTAGTTTTCATTGTGTCTAGGTCTGATCGATACTGTATCCTGGGATATATGCTTCGAATATTACATTTGAGAATATTGCTTAATGCTACAATCTCATACAACTCCGAGTAAGTACCGTTTATCGAAACACCACGAATCGCTTCAGGAAATAGTCCAACCACGTATTGCAAACGTTCTCTATATTGTTCTTCATTTTGAAACAGTTCTAGTAGAGTTCGTACTCTGAGTGCAATGCAAAAAAAAATACATGTAATACATGTTGATGAAACAAGTTTTACTTCGCAGTTCACTTGCAGTTACAGCTTTACTCCTGTTAAGATATACAATAGAATGATACAAGCAATTCCCATCACTTAATGTTTTAATAGGAATCATATCTTGGACATCAGAATCAGCCTTAAGGAGGTAAGTCTGTGCTTGGTGATCAATCGTATGAATTGATGAATCAAAATATTGAATAGGATCAAATTGAATAGGTGTTAGAAGCCATTTCATCTGAAAATATTAAAATATAACAACGTATCTTCTTTATAACTATCTTACAGTGATTATTCTGGCACAGAGCATCTTAATTTGATTGTAGTAGTCTGAACTTATAGCAGCCATTTTTAGTAAAGATAGCAGACGAACAAACAGTTCAGAGCGAGAATTTGTTTGACACTGATCGCAACACGCTTGGATCGTCTGATTACGACAAAATAAACACTGACTGATCATATTAATCTAAAACTTTTGTCAAAAGAAGATGATGTCTATAAAATTGTAGAAAATTCAGTATCTTTTGTTCCCACATATTAGGTATTAGACCTTAAAAGATCTTATATTTAATATGGACAAAACAAATATAATGAATTATACAAATATTTTCATATAAAATATTGACATAAATGTGTATGCGATTAGTTTGTTTTACAATAGTTTTTTCGAATAACTCCTTCTAATTGCCACCACCGCTGTTGCCTTTCTTCATAAGAATAACAGTCAAAATCATCGATCATACATATTAAACTCAAGTTTATGCCATGTAAAGCCTTATGAAGATTTTCATTATAGAATATTGATCTAGTCTCTTGAAATGATACATCCATTACAATTCGGAGAAGACTAGGTGTAGATTCTAATAGATGAAGCCATTTATGACTGTAAATGAAGTTCTCATCATCAACAATTCCATATAGTTTAAGTTTAACCAGATTAGGCATTGTTGCCACTAGCCGATTAATCTCTTCAAATGGTGGTTCAAGTAGCGAAAGTTGAAGGGAACGAAGATATGGAAAGTTCGATAAGTTAACTGAAATTCTATCATGTCGAAAAAGACTTATATTGAGATATCGAATATTTATGAAACCAGGTTGTATATATGCCAAGCTACCATAAGTAATAGCTGGACATAAATTCAAAATCAAGTGTTCGATTTTACTTGGAAATAGTGGAAAATTATTAGCTTCTATTTTCTCTTCTTGTTCGTCAGCACAAATCTCCAATCGTCGTAAAGAATCAAAAGATAAAATGCATGACAAAAGTTGGTGTAAAAGTTTAATATTTGGTGTAACTATGGAAAGTTGTTCCAAATGCATGCTTATTTGTGAACATTTTGTCACAAGAGGAATTATCCATTCAAATTGTCCAACAAGCTTGAGTGATCGAAGACAACAACATTTCTGAAGTATATCGAAACTAATTCCGTCTTGAATTGTCAGAGATATGACTTGATCTAGTGGAAGTTCATTTGGTAGCTTGGTAGTATGAGAATCGACTGTAAGTCCTCGTAATTGGTTTCGATATTTTCCATTAAACAGAACCTCATCAGATGTACTACTAATATTTTTGAGAGTCGAATATAAATCAGTAACTGCAAAATATTGGAATATTTCTGACCAAATATCGGAGCATAAATGAGGAATGCTTCCTAAATATACACATATAGTTCAGACGTTCGCATAAAATGTTACTTACTGCAGGTCTGAACCTTGTCCATTGCTATTCGATATTTATATAATCTAAAATTTTGAAAAATTATGACATAGCAGTGAAAAGAACAGTTGTGTATTATGCAACTACTCATGGAACATACGGAATGAATGAATGAACAATTTGTGACTAACATGTAGAAAAGTAAACTACAGAATAAATACAATACTACATTTTGGTCTAATCATAACTACTTCTACACAACAATGAAGAATCAATCTTTATGTGTATTTTCAAATTCTTTTGTCATTTGAAGAAGCTCTTCATCAGTTATATATGGTATAGGAATTGTTTGTTTATTCGTGACTTCTTCGACATTAATTATCTTTTTCATGTAAGTAGATGCACTACAAAATGATAGAACTTGTTCATCGACAGAAATATGACTCATCATCTTTTTCTTTGGTTGAACTTTCATTTCATCGGAATCGGAAACAGTGCGTTTGATTTGATTTGTTGTTGTCTAATTTATAATCAAATTGATTTTAATGTTTACATTAAATGTAGTATCTTACTTGTTCATCGACTACTTCTTTCGGCGAATGCATGTGAACGCTTTTACTCATTATTACTTGCTAAATATGAAAGGCACCAATTGGTTTCAAGCAATTCAAGTAATAGATTTAAAATACTTACAATAAAGAAATAGTAGAAATATTGTATATGACAAATCGAATTCTACGATTATAAAAATCTACAATTGATAAATATATCAAGCAGTCTGTTAATAAACAAAAAAAAATCAATTATAGAAGCTATTTCTCATATATTCAACATCATATATATAAGAACCATTGCGAGTATTCGAGAAATAAGATAAGAGCACAATTCATTGTACGTTTTTGTCGATTGACATCTTTTACAGAAAATACAAGATCCGTTGGCAATATGATTGAAATTGAATTAGTTGTTTATAGAGTACTACTCAGTGAAACAGTATGTCTAAGAAAAATTACATTAGTCTAGGGCTACAAAAAACATGCGAACAAGATATGAACGAAACAAATCAAATTAAATTGTCATATAAATATTTTTTTACTATCGAAATTTCTTTTTAAGTTTCCGTCATGATCAGTCGAATAAATTATTTATAATCGAATAGTTTTGGACAAATACCTCTTATAAATTCATCTTGTAAACGAAATGTATCAACGATTGGCAAATGTACAGGACAAGTTTCTTGAGTAGCAAATTGGATTTCTCCATCATCCTCCATATAGTAGAATTCACGAACGCTATACAATGGTATTAATTCTTGAGACATAAGTTCATTGAAATCTCCATCAAAATTAAATGGTACGATGAGTTTAAAGCCACGATTGCAATACTTTTGAATTCGAATACACGTGTTTTTAGATATATTAGCATGCAAATTGTACATAATAAATGTTTTCGTTGTTATTGCTTCAATAAATGAACATGTCGACAAAAGACTTTGTCCTAAACGTGCGACATTGAATCTACATCACGATACGATTGTAATACAAAACAAACCGTTATAGAGAATTTGACAAATGTCAAAATCCAATTTATGAAGTATATGTGATACAGGATCGCTTGAGTTTTTAGCAGGATCAAATTTCAAATTTATCTTAATAGCATTAGGTAAAATCAAATCGTATGAGCCTGTGCCAATGTGTTTTTGAATTTCAATATCAGCGGTGAATCTATTTTGATTCATCTCTTTAAGTTTTGCTACAGTACTATCAACAGTTTCATCGAAATTTTCCCAGTTGCCAGAAAAAAAAATTAAATTAATATCTTGTTCTTTAGTATCTGGGAAAGGCAAGTTACAAAAAGCATTAAGAACGCATCCTCCAACGATAATAAACTTTGAGAAGTCAATTGCAGATAACCATGTGTTCGCTAGAAAACGAACTGATAGATTGTGTCGAAACTCATCCATCGTGTTTATAATTGCTAATGATGTTTGGCGTTTTCGATTTTCCAACGTTTCAAAGTATTCATTATCTAAATCAAGTTCATGGAACTATTTATATTACCCAATATAACCATGAATGCGTACGTGTGAACAACTTCCTTTCATGTTCATTTAATGTTCGACCTGAAGATGTTGTTTGATTGAAAGATATAACATCAATAAGACCAAAATCAGCACAATACTGAATCGTATTAAATGGTAATAATCGAACAAAGCATTTAAATAGTGGAACATTGTAGAATCTGGCTAGTTTTCGAAATGCGTCAACAGTGAAACACGGGTATATAAATAAACGTAATTCGGGCAGTGCTACGTCAGAATATCGCTTTGAAACTAGAACTAATTTAGTCTCATCGATATCATGACTATCTTCATAGCATGCAAAGTGACTCTGACATATCCGAATCCTCTGACATCCACGAAATATCTCCATCGACTGACGAAAACTATCATCCGATGACCTTACAAGTGAGTACCATTCTTCGTTTATATTTATCGCTTCAATAAAATTGATGACATCTATTTGGTCAAGAAACGTTAAAAGATGATCCATGATTAAATTATTCAATGCCATCGCAGAATTTTTTGTTGTAGTTGGTTATATATATCTACAAAAGAAAATTTCAAGTAAGGTAACTTTTGATAGAACAATCAATCAATGTTATGTCTATCTGACTACTACCACTTGTGAAAAAAATGTGACCACTCGTGTGTATACCTAATACTACATAATTCAATTGAGATTTTATTCGCTACTTAATGAAAAAATGTAATATCTTCGTCAACAACACAAAAAATTTATCATATTTGATTTTGGTCGACTAAACAATACAGTATGAAGCATTTATCAATTTAATAAAGAAAAGTCAACATGTAGCCACGAATTTACAATCAAATTATGTACAATAAACAACGAAGCGCAAAAACAATGCCAGCATGACTTTCTAAGAAAGTGACCCAGCGTCAACTAATTGAACTGTATCAGCTCATCTTTGTTTCGTCCGGATTTATCTTTATTTACAATTTTAGCATGATATTAGAGCCAATATGCACCAGTGGTTGGCTCATCATCATCATCATCATCATCGACTTCGTCATCATAACCATCAAAGACGTGATGCGCATCACTATCATCATCATCGCTTATGTTACTGATATTCATATCGCTACCGGAATCCAAATCGACTGTATCCAAACTACTATCTGATAAATAATAAATAGGTGTTTCGTTATCATCATCATCGATTAAATCATAAGGTGTATCATGAATGTCATATGAACTATTCATATTCTGCATGTTGGTGTACGAGAAATTGTCGATACTGGTAGTTGGGTAAAATATATTTCTTTGTATAGTATTACAATCCGGGACATTCGTGCCGGAATTTGGAATATTTGTCGAAATCACTGGTATTATTTGTGGCATAGTAAAAACATAATCATTTGGATTTGGAACTTGTTGAAGCATTGGTACAATATAAAACTGATGTACGGGCACAACCATATATTCAGAAGCTGGTACGAGAACGGTTCCTGGTGGTAATGTGTTCATCATTCGTCTAAAACAAAATCAGTGTAATTATATGAATTCAACGAAATATGAAATGATAATTAATAAAAATATTTTCAGTGATATTAGTAAGTAACAAATATTCATATTTTATTTACAGAATCAATACAATATTTACAACTTGATTAAACAAAAAAGGAAACAGAAGCAATACACGAAGTACAAAAGACAGCTTTATGTTATTTGCCAGTGAAATTCATTCATTTTACATATTTGTTGCATTGTTTGTTAATGAGTTGTCTTCAAAATGAAGCTGTGCCAATCATTGCATTCAAAGACGTGCACTCTAGATAAACTGAAAATGATACGCGCGTCGATTTGATGGAAAAGTGTCCATAAAGATAATGCACAAAGACAAGCATGCACATAAGTACCAACTATTATTGACAAAAACGATTTTTATTACTCAAGACAAATATTGACAACTAATGTACAATTTGTATAGACACAATTTTCTTTCAATTAATATGTGAAGAATACATCCATCAACTTCTGGATATGGTAAGCATCCTGTACGAGAAAATTTTCGTTCAACCACCACCACCGATCAACTCTATACATGTGCTCTTGCACTAGAAAAACAATATGCATACATGGATACTTGTTTCTATCATACATTCGGATTGACATACCTTCAATTATTCTCATTCGTTTTGCCTGTGTTTGACCAGCAAGCCTTCGTATCAATACTTTGAATAAGTCCTATATGTAACGATATATAATGCACAGAACTTCTCAACTATGATGACATACTCGAGATAAAAATTTCTCAACATGCTTTGTAAAAGAATATCGAAGAAAATCTACCGCTTTTTGGCAATGGCCATGATGAAAAGACATCTCTTCACGAGTACAGTCATTGAAATGTGCAGGCGGTGGTAAATTACGATTTTGTGGTTGATATCGTGAAAGTGAANATGCTGTATGCTGGAACCAATGGAAGACCCTTTCGTTTCACAGTAATGTTTGTAGATGCTTTCCTTCCTTTTAAAGCTTTCGAAGCTGATTTATGAAGATACTCACTTACATCGAAAGAGAAAGTTTGCTCGCTGACAGGAATAGGAATCATTTTTGGTGTGAGCGTGTCCAGTGCCGATTCGAGCTTGCAATTTGGGAATTCCACTAGGGCATACTTGGGCTGTGTTATAAGCTTAGTATTCGCTGGGAAAATCTCGCCATTGAAGTCATGAGTGTCAGATGAATTGTCATATATTAGCTGATGAAATATTCCTCTGGCACCATTCGATAGTCCAAGTTCTGTGGCGATATTTTCTGTAAGTAGAACTGGCATTCCTGGTGTGAGTGGAAGGTATCCTGGTAGGTGTTCAGTTTTATTATCTGGTAGTTCCAGAATTGCTCTACGTAATCGTGAATTTTCAATTAATTTTCTCCCTATATAATCTTGAGCAACACAGACCACTGGTTGCAGACCTAATTCAAGAGCTCTGTTTACAACAGCTCGATTGTTAAGTTGCGTACGAAGCGTATTGCGAAAAACCAGCATGGGTGCCTATAAAAAATTTTGTTACAATTAAGGAAAAGAAGCTTTTCGCTGCATACATCATTCCATGGTGGCTTAGATAAGGACTCTTGCAAAGATTCGTTCCCAACAATACGTGTGCAAAGAAGTTGGTAATCTTCCATAGTTGATTGTCCTTTACGTAAACGATTTAGCAATTCTAAATATTGTTTATCTTCGGTACGCATCTGCTGAGTTAATTCGACGGCACAATTTATCTGGGACATGATTTTTTGAGCACATTGTATTTCAATATCCCGCTCTGCACATATAGAGGATACCTCGAAACTTGCATACAAAGGCTTATCCAATACTGGAGAGTACTGCAGAAAATCACCAAAGAATATTACGTTGACACCACCAAACGCTACGTCAGGTTTCAAATGCTTCGCTGTTTTCACTACTCGATTCAATCGAGCAAGCAAGTTGAGTCCAACCATACTCATCTCATCAATAATTAGATATTCCACATCACGCCATTGTGCTTCCAATTTATTGTCCCCTGGTCTGAATGTTTTTGATCGATACTTTTTAGGAATCTTATGGTTCTCTCCTAAAAATGAATGAATAGTTAATCCATCAATCTCTGCTGCAGCTACAGATGTTGGTGCCAATTTACGGAGCATCTTCAAGCGTTTGGTGACCTCAAAATATCTTGTGATGGCACGAATTAATTGAGATTTACCAGTGCCACCACAGCCAGGTACACACATAAGCAATTGATTATCTTCATTATCTATAAAACAATATCCAGATAAAATTGATTTATAGAGCCATATGTATATAATAGACCTATGCGAAATCGACTTTCGCCATTTAANACATCCACGAAAGCTCTCCATCGACTGACGAAAACTATCATCCGATGACCTTACAAGTGAGTACCATTCTTCGTTTATATTTATCGCTTCAATAAAATTGATGACATCTATTTGGCCAAGAAACGTTAAAAGATGATCCATGATTAAATTATTCAATGCCATCACAGAATTATTTGTTGCAGTTAGATATATATCTACAAAAGGAAAAGAATCAAGTAAGGCAACTTGTGATAAAATAATCAATCAATGTTATGCCTATCTGACTACTGCCGCTTGCGAACAAAAGGAGATCACTCATGTGTATCCTTGATATTACATAAGTCAATTGAAATTTTATTTACTACCTAATGAAAACATATATTACCTTCATCAACAACACGAAAAACTTATCATATTTGACTTTGTTCGGTTGAACAATACAGTATAAAACATTTATCGATTTCACAAGGAAAACTCAACATGTAGCCGCGAATTTACAACCAAATTATGTACAATAAATAATGAAGCGCAAAATCAAAGTCAGCGTGTTCTCCTAAGAAAGCGGCTCAGCATCTATTAATTCAACTGCATCAGTTCATCCGTGCTTCGTCCACATTTATCTTTATTTACAATTTTAAATTGATATTAGAGCCAATATCCACCAGTGATTGGCTCATCATCATCATTATCAACATAGTCGTCAACTTCATCATCGTGGTCATCATCATTGTCAGTATCACTTATGTTACTGATACTCATATCACTACTGGAATTCAAATAAACTATATCTGAGTTATCACTATCTGATAAATAATATATTGATGTTTCGTTATCATCATCATCATCAATTAAATCATAAGGTGTATCGTGAATGTCATATGAATTGTTCATATTTTCCATGTTGGTGTACGAGAGATCATCGGCACTAGTAATTGGATATATTGTACTTCTTTGTATGGTATTATTTTCATGGTCATTCAAGCTTGAATTTGAGACATTTGTCCAAAGCACTGGTGTTGTTTGCTGCATAGTAAAAACACAATCATTTGGATTTGGAACTTGTTGAAGCATCGGTACAATATAAAACTGAGATACGGGTACAACCATATATTCAGAGGCTGGTACGAGGATTGTTCCTAATGGTAACATGTTCATGATTCGATCTACAACAAAATGCACAGAATTAAATGACTTCAATGAGAGATCAAATCATAATTGATGAAAAAACTTTCGGTGGTATTACTAAGCCGCGAATACTCATATTTTATTTACAAAATAAGTACAAACTTCACAAATCGATTAAGCGGAAAATGGAAACAAAAGGAATACGCGCAGTACAAAGATAGCTTTGTGTTATTTGTCAATGAAACTCATTCATCATTTGCATCGGCCGCTTTGATTGTTACTCTTTCATCCGTCCATGTTTGCATGCGATGATTACGAGAAAGAGATTATGAATTGTCTGAAAACCAAGCTGGTACCAATTATTGCATTCGAACAAACTAATTTAGGTAAGTTGAAACTGATGTACGTTTCTATTATATAGGAAAGAGTTACTGATGACAATACACAAACATCAACGCAAACACAAATCCAAATTATTATTAACGAACAACATTATTTATTATTGAAGAAAAATATTCACAAGAGTTATATACAATTCGTATAGAGACAAAATATTTTCCATTTAATATGTAAAAAAGACGTCCATCAACTTTTGGACGTAGTATATATCTTGTACGAGAAAATTTTCGTTCAACCACCACCACCGATCAGCTCTATGCATGCGCTCTTGCACTAGAAAAACAAAATGCTTACATGAGTACTTCTTGCTGTTATACAATCGGATCGTTATACCTTCAATCATTCTCATTCTCTTTGCCTGTGTTTGGCCAGCTAGTCTGCGTATCAATAATTTGAACAGATCCTATAAGTAATGATATACAACACACAAATTTCTCAACTTTCATAACGTACTCGCGACGAAAATTTCTCGACATGCTTTGTAAAAGAGTATCGAAGGAAATTTACTATTTTCGGGCAATGACCATGATGGAAAGACATGTCTTCACGAGAACAGTCATCAAAATGTGCAGGAGGTGGTAAATTACGATTTCGTGGTTGATATCGTGAAAGTGAAATCGATTTATTTTTTTTTGGCAACAATGAGAGCATCATATGTGTCTATTTCTCTTGCATAGAAAAGATAAAATATTGACTTTCCTTTCTTTGTTGGTACACGTCTGAAATAATCGAAACCGAATTCTTGTCGAAACTTTCCTGACATGTCAACGTTTGACAAATTTGTATCATTTAATTGGTACATAACTAATCGATTTTCCATTTTTGGAAGGCAAATGTATCCTGTCAACTGGAAAAGAATATTTATATTAATGTATATATTTTGAATTGAATTAACAAATAGTGAATCAATTGCTAGTTCCAGTCGGCATGTAAAGAAAACTATCAGAATTGAGTGTCGAATTATATGAAATACGTTTCATAGTAGTGATTAACAATTCCGTATAGAAATAACTATTACGTAATTATAAGTGTTTTCTCTTTGATATAGATACATTAGTTGAATCCCTGATTGACAAACTTCAATTCATGTAAGTTTACGGTTAGTAGCAAAACTTATATACTAGACTAAATCTCGATTTTATTAGAATATTTTGTCAAATGATGCATTGAGATAGTAGAAACTTGTCTATTCTGTTTTTGTACATTTAACTTTCTATCAATGCAGATGACATAACAATTGAATAGTCATCACAAATAATAGAACTCACGTCAAACTGAATTTAAAGACAAACAAAATGAATGATTGATAGTAGACCGAATCTTAAGTTTAACAACAATTTGAACTAACCACAAAAGGAGTATCTCTGTATTTCATTGAAACTCTCGTGGTGATCACTGATGAACTTGCAGATATGTAAGCACTTTCACTATTTTCAACTATTTCACATCGCAAAAGTCATTGATGAGCACTGGAAAGTACTAGCAGTCAAGCTCAACTATACAGCATGGAAATCAAGCTTTTAATCTCTACCGATACTCACATAGGAAATATACTCTCATAGCTACTGCATTTATAAAATATTAGACAGCTTGTATCTTGACTATTTGTTGTGAATTATACTATTCTACTGGCGTGACAGAATGATCATATCGATACATCGATAATATATATAATAAACTCGAAATAAATTAGTACAAAGTTGAAATAAACAGTGTTGGCTACACCTCGAATAACTGTTTTTCTCAAAATTATCTTATATCTGTGAGATAGCAGCTACATCGTAAATCACTCTCGAGTATTACAATGATGATACCAGCTTTATTCGATAGTGATCAATAAATGACTGGAATAGAAAGTATTTCCTTTAGAGGATCATTTTTCCACAGAGGATGGTTTTGTCTAGAAAAGAACATAATCTCAATAAATAGAATGATACATACATGATATTTAAGAAAGGTATAATCCTTTGAAGAATATTTGTGCAGCGGAAGAAGATCGAAGCGAATGGAGATCGATGTGGAGAAGATTGAAGCGAATGAAGGCATGCTAGCCAATTGTTGGGTTTAAATAGGCGAACATATGAGCTTTTTTCTCTATCTCTCTCTTTCTCCTTTTTTGTCTCTTCTCTTTTTTCCAACTTGATATTGTCCAATCACTTTTTTCGGCCAATCAAGAAATACGTCTTGAGTCTTCTGTTTCCTGTCATACACGTTAGTATGATTGATGTGAATTACCCCGAAAGCAATCTCTGGATAAAATGACATGTCATACATCAATTATATACATGTCAAGACGATATCAATACAAAGGTAGTTAAAACCAGCTTCGTAGAAAACCTCGGTAAAATGCTTTAGAAGAGATGTTAACCGTTTAGTTCTTAATTGACATAACTTTCGATTTTTTTAAGTGATGAAAACTGCCATAACTTCAATCTAATTTATTGGGAAAAGATTCATTGTTTTTGTATACTCGTTCGATCCCAAATAATTAGAACTTCATCGTTTAATAACTGATGGATTGTTTCCTTATCACAGTTGCACCTACAAGTATACTTGGATGTTAAATTTTCTTTACACTGATATTGGTTTAATCGAATATATGAATTCAAGCGCTTTTGATCGAATGAAGGCTACAAGTTGGATCACACAATTGGAATATTTTTATTGTTTATCATCTGCACCGCTTTCCTCAATAACGTTTCCTTTGAATCGTCTCATTATCGCTGTTTTGAAGAACAACTCATACAGAAAAAAGGAGACCATCGTTTGTATATTTGAAATGAACTTGTTTGAATAATTTCACATGTATATTTCGTATTATATACGTTGGATGACTAATTGTTATGAATGTTTAAGGTTGAATTGATTTCTACTTTTAGTAAAATTCCTAATTTCGATTTTATGGTAGAAATTATGCAAAGAAGCATGTTCGTGAGAAATAAAATCACATGCCGGAACAGTCACACATAGATCTCTTTTGCTGAACAAAAAGATAGAAACGAAGATCATAAGTATTCACGAGCTGAAAAAGAAAATTTTGGATATCAGCAATGCATGTTTAGTATACTACCTATTCATTAATCTTCAAGCTTGTTAATTGTGGCATTATTTTCATACAATCTATTTTATTGTATTGAAACATATTTACAACTGCAACTGGATTATACTTTTATTGATATAAACATATAAGTCGATTCGAAGCTGTTCCGCTTTAGATATATACTCGTTTCAATCATCATATCATCTTATAACTTCTGCTTCCAACCACAATGTGATTAGCTAAGTGGATCGATATGGATGAGAAATATTGTATGAAATAATTTCATTCAAACAAGATGCAGATAATCACACTTTCGGTGTGGCAATCGTAAAATATGAGCATCTGTCATGTTCGTCATCGAACTGTATCAGAACCCTCTTGATTGCTCTTATTACAAAAATTGTCAATTGTTTGTTTGCTGTTTATAAGAAGATGACAGATGAAAGAATGACAGATGTATTGTTTTATTTTCTTCACGTTTAGAACAGATTCTCTTTCAGAAAATGTCATTTGTTAAAAGACTGGACAAGCAGAAGGAGTTACTGTTTCATAACTCGTTGTTGAACAAATTCATTAAATACAACTCACATTTCTATACAAGATTGGTAATGATCAGTTCGCTTGTATTTTTGTAGTAATCAACGAGAAATCCAGGCAAAAGCTTCGATTTTCATGAATTATGTTTTGTTTTGTTTTGTTTTATTAGAACAGAATGTCTGTTGTTCGCTATGCACACAAGACACGTTTGAAAGATAATGCTTTTGCGTTTTGTATTCAAGATCGAAACGTTACAATAATATATCTGCCAGTGAGAAGCAAAGTTAACATATCGAAATAGATTAATAATACGATGAAGAGTTTCAAAAAGATTCATTTCCAACTTACCAAAATACCGCATTGCATTAACAAATTGTTCGGTGCTGAGTTTATATATAATGAAAGCTATAGAATAGAATTGCAACCAGGGGTATTTTTAGCAGAAATGATTCATACTTTCACTGCCTTTGTTACTTTACTTCTTGTTGAGTGTCGAGAAAATCCTTCGTTTAATGTATAACAAAACTATTTCTTTCATTGTAACAACTAAAACAATTAGCAATGTCAGTAACGAGAAAAATTTGATAAGGACTGTAAAAATCCTTCAATCTCGTACCAGATCTATTGAAATCTTCTGTGATCACTCAGAAAAGCCTCAAGTTCTTCGAACTACTGGATGGTTGGTCTTGAAAAAGAAAATATTATCTTAATTTTCATCTGTCCATCATATTGATCTGTAATTGACAGAAGCCATGAGCGATAAATTCAATCGATCAAGTATGTGTAAGGAAAGAATTAAGTGATAACATAAAAGCAATTAGATTAATGTATTCTTTGTTTGTCATTTATATAAGCGCAAAACGATTATATAAGTGCTTGATAAAGATCATGAAATAAAGCAACACTTTCCATTCAGCTCCTTTGTTTTTTATCCATTAATTGAGTAAAAGGATCTGCTTTATATCAAATGAACCGTAGCGTATCGCCATTGTTTCATCGAGTATATATAGAGAGACGAATGAGCTATTCACAGTTCGATCATCTCATTTGTTAGCTACTCCGTGGTTTGCGTTGTTTATCTACAGAACCAAAGCACATCATTCACATGTCTATCCTTATGTTCCATTTTCGCAATGTCAAACGTGATAGAAGAGATGCATTCCGCTGGAATCTCGGTGGTCATGAACAAAATACTGTAATATCCGGGAATAACAATTCTTTACGTACTACAAACCCTCTAGACGCAAATGATGAAACGTTACTTCGCAAAATTGGTCACCAATTTGGTAGAGTTTTTGAAGGCAGTACAGATCTAGTACTTTCTCCAGCCAAGTGGCTTTCACACATGCAAGATAATTGGTAGGTATTCAGCTGAAGTTTGTATAGAAATCGATTGATTAAAATGAGCCTTTGTGACAGATTGATTCTACCAATAATTCCAATCTGATTTTCGACAGAGAATATTTATGACAAATGACACAATGAGGAAATTTTGTATTTATAAATTGAAAATACCATGATCTGAATTTCTGTGTTAATTCTCATTTGAGAGACGCCCTCTACAAGCTCGTCCAGATATCGTTTTCACTGGAAATTCCTTGTTCTCACGTATGCATCAAGCTGTAAAATAGATCATAAAACAGTATTGTTTTTTTTTGCATTGCTTCTTGCTGTAAATCGACGTAACTATAAATATGTTACATACTCATGATCGTGTTGTTAATGGTCGAAAAGAATTTATATCCCAAATGAAACTGAATCACTTGAGAAATATATCATTTCAGGGCATATATTCACAAAACATAGGTAATCCCTGTTCACAATTCTTAGTAACCAGCGAATAGAAAACAGTGATCATTTGAATATAAAATAAAACAAGAAAAACTCCGTGAAGATATTTTTGTGGAACGGATATGAGAACAATTGTCTAAAGATGAGAGCGATATGCGTTCTCCAGAGAGCATTTGAAGGTTAAAATAAAGTTAGAAGTGTCAAATGATGATAAAGAATGCATCAGACAATGAAGTTAATAAACGATGATTGTAGTTCATAACATGCTCTTTGGACATAAAGATTCCTAATTATTGTCCCCATTTCAACAACAATAGAATAGATCTAATATGCGCGAAGCAGCATTATAATTTGTATTTTTAACATCAATTTGTCTTTGCAATTCGTTTTCTATGATTTTTTTACACTAATAGGTTATATTATTTAATATTTGGAACGATATTTATGGTTTGTGTCTTAATTGTCTACTGTTGTGTTCGCCGGCATATAACAAGATGTACAGATGTCTCAACTACAAATGTGAATGTTTCAAAATCAGCGATATCAAACGCTATAGAACTTGCTGCACTACATCGCGCACTACCAAGCGCGTGATATTGTTTTCTTTGTACTGTTCGTGTTTCTTAATTTCATTAGTAGAAACTTAATCATATTTAGATATCAAACAGTTTTTGTCTATTAGATAGGGTATTTGATTCTTTCATTAGGTGCTATAGATTCAATTTGGTCGATAGGAACTAATGTATTCATCGTAGAACGTAGAACTAATTCAAAATTTCAAAGAGAATGATCGGTTTTTTACTAATGAAACTTTTGTTTCGTAGATATCGTAGAAATATATGAATAAAATTTTCATGCTGATTAAAATATATGCGAAAGCAGCATCAATGCAACAATGATGACTATTTAGTTACAGAACAAAATTGAGATAATTATGCAACATACGAGCTTTAGAAATAGATCTCTTTTACATAAATATAACACTTAGTTGAAGGATAAAAAGCATTTGCATTGTTTAGTCAATTGCAGGATTCCAATGATGGTTCGAGTGCATTCGATTGTTCACATGCAAAGTAATATTTTTACTAGTAAAATTAAGCAATTATGTTCTATATCAACACTATTTTAATATTCTGTGGGAATAATGACACACATCAGTAACATCAATAAAGTCTGTTGTTTGGAAACACTTGTATAATCTGCAATTTCTCATAATAGGAAAAGAATCATGCAATTTGGTTACTTATTGTTTTTTGTGTTGACGATTTTCTCAGATGTTACGATTGATAGAACAGCCACAATCAGCCATGTCATTGTGTATATGTTCATCCTCCGCTCATAGTTTTCTTCACATCGGGCTGAAATAAAATTCACGCAAAAGAAAGGTCACGCGCGCGGAATGAATGTTCAGTTGACGGAAAAAATTCTAAACGGACGACAGTCATACGATATGAAATGATTAAATACGATCGACATCATGAAGAAATGATTATCTCGTTTTATAAACAACGAACATAACTTAAACTATTAGTAAACTACAATCATTAATTTCTTTTTTTTGTATCTTTAGATGAATTTTAATTGTTCACGAGACATCACCATTATAGGCCATGGAAATTCTGTTACTATCGATTCATCAGTTCCATTTTCGACAGTTGACTGCGATGCAACAAATAAAATATTTTTGTATCAAGTTGCTGTCGTGATATTTATATGCATTATCGCTATAGGCATCTTGTATTATTGTTCACGGCGTCGCAAAATGGAGCGAACCATTCGATCAACGATGATTACCGCTGAATGTAATCGTAATGGTGACGTCTGTTGACGTATATGTCGTTAAAGTGTAAATACAATGTAAACTTGTTTTACATCCGTTTAGGTATAGCTTACCTTTGATATATAGGCAGACATATAAACTGATACTGTTCCGTTGACATACCACGATGTTCCATTTCCCTGCCAATTGAATGATAAAATCATATTGTATTTGAGAAATATATTCAAAAAATATATTCTCTAACTAGTTGTTCATCTTGCAAGAAATTTAGTTGTTGCAGAACTTACTTATCTTGTTGAATCTTTTTCGTTTGTAAATATGCTTGTTTTCTCGCTTACATATAAAATAAACCTGAATCTAGCGGTGTATTAAATTAATAATATAATCATTATTTCATTGACTGTAAAAATATGGAATGTGCAGCTGTTTGAATATATGGAGAAAATTTATCATGCACAGTCGATAAATAAATGAATAAATGATGACAGTTGAGGTTTCTTTGGAATTGCATATGTGATATACTAAAAACAAAGGAAGCTTTATTGCAACACATGTACAGGCAATGATGTTAGATTTTTAAAGACTTGTTTTCTCATTCGTATCTTGATTTGATAGTTTCTCGAATATAACATAGAATAATATTATTTATATGAAGAAAGTACAAGTTCTTTTACAAAAAAAGTTCCGTCGAATATAGACATTAGTCGATGATTGAGTAATCTCGTCTTAATTGATAATTATAATTTCAAATATTGTATGTTGTTTTGTTTATCCACAAAGATATGATATGAATTCAGTTGTCAAATGGAAACGTTTTCTTCAAATGCAATTCAGACACTAATAGCTTGCTTCAAATGGTTCCGTGATTTTTTTTTGTGAAAATGCCAATGCAAAAACATATTTTGCCTCGTCCATTGGAAACTAAATTACTCAAACTTACCTTGAAGCGAACCAGTTTAATGAGAGAACCGTATCGAAGTTCGCGTTGGTCAACAACTAAAGACAATAAAATAAAATAAATACAAAAAAAACAAAATGTACGTCGACTGAAAAAA